GCGACTCGCTCTCGCTCGGCTTCGGAGGACCCGACTCTTCATCCTCCTTGCGTCTGCCTGGTTCCGAGAACCTTTCTGAGGCCAGTTCGATGGTTAACTTCCCTGCGTATTCGGTGCGTTCGGAAGACAGTTCGGCCATGCAGTTTAATGATCTGGTGGAGCAGCTGGAGCAGCTCAGCTATCCGCCCACAGCCACAGAGGGCTCGGCTGACGGCAGCTCCGATTCCGACTCCGACTGGGGGTCTGATGGAGGTCTGCCTCCAGATCATAACCTCTTCTTCAGCAACCCACTAGTGAGTGAGGCAGATTTAGACAGCTTCTTGCTGGAATGCCAAAATCTCAGGGCTCTAAGCATTGGGGAGACCCCGCCAGGCCCCACCCATCTTAAAATGTAGCATGACCCCCATTAAACGGCAACAGTATTGGTGGTTTTTAATGCAGAACATGACCAAGCACTTAATTCTCCACCTCATCCTGATATAAATCAGTTCTTATAGTTTTGGCACTTCCTGTTAGCGCTTCAATCTACCCCTTTTTTTTCTCACATGGCTTTCCAGTGTACTTCCTCTCTCTATCTATCTCTCTTTGGTGTTAATTCATTCTTTTTTCTTTTTTTTTTAAATCATGTGCTGTAAGTTCTTGTAGGGTCGTATGATTCATTTTATATTTTTCAGATTATATAGTTCAATTATTATAACTGTTTAGTTTGACATTTTATCTTGGTAGTCCGGATGGCTACAAGTTGCGCTGTGACCTTTTTGAAGGGGAAAATTAAATGGATATATCACCTAGAATTGTGATATTCTTACCACTTTATGCACATAAAACTATACATTTTCAAATTTATGAGCATTTGAAGCTTAGAAAAGAACATTTTATCACGTTCCATGATTTTTTTTTTCCATATGAGGGCTGCAAGACATGGAGAAATGCAATAATAGCTGTATGCATTACAAATAAGATAATGGCACACATCAGTTTTATCTAGTAGATTTAAAGCCAGAAAGGGATGACGCGTCCAATATGCCTGGGTCTTTTTCTTCCTGAGTAAAGAACTTCCCAACTACTCAAAGTGAACATCAAATCTTTTACTAAAATATCATGCTGTAAACATAAAAAATATATATATTATCTAGAATTTATAGGTAATCAAATGGAAATCTAAACAAAGGTTAAGTTTAATTGACAATTTTAACTTGTCAAGTTTTGACTTGATTATAAGCTCATCATATGTTTATTTGCAATATTCTTGGGGGGTTCTTGCAGTTCTTGTCCCTTTAAATGTTTTGACCTTAAAGGGGTCCTAAAACGAGTTCAAATATTCATTCAACCACTGAACTGATTTGTCTGAAGAGGAAAACTCACTTGAATGTGAATAAGTAAAAATACACATCATTAAGATGAGCTTTACATGCATGTATAAAGGTACTTTCATATCAGGATAACTGCATGAGTCTATTCCAGTAGTGAGCCACTCTACTCAGGGCTGTGATTTAATTCGCAGTGGAGCTGACAGCCATTGCTTTTAAAAGCAAATTTGAGCCGAAGTTACTTTTGTGTTTGTTACTTTAGAATTGTTCGCTCCACTCTGCCCCCTGCTGTTTAACTTTTAGACATGTGTGCATCTCTTATTTTATTGGGCTATATAAATGGCTGCATTTACACACGATCACTGGCACAGATTGGACCCTGTTGCATGTGTGTAAACGCCAAAAGCACTCTTTTGGCATCCGATTTGAGCCATTTTAAATCTCATTTTCAAATTTTGCATTTTGACTTTATATTTTTAACAGTTGAGTCTTAAGTTCAGATCTGTGCATGTTGCTTTGCAGTGTAAGCCTTTGATGCCTCATTTTTTATTATTTTAGTTGTAGACTATTGTAGCCATTAACCCATGTTCTGCATGTAAAGAAATGTAGAAGCTTGCACTAAAGTTCAAAAGTTTGGGTAAGATTTTTTTTTTTAAATGTTTTTGAAAGAAGTCTCCTATACTGTTTCCTAACCAGACGCGACGCAACTAAGAGACACGATAAAAACAATAAAAAATCACAGCCTATCAGAAGAGCGTGTGGGCCGGCACTTTCGACTCTTACACCATTTTAACAATTAAAATACATACCGAGTGACTGAAACAATATTTTTCTTAGAATAAACTTGTTTGTCCATATTGAGTTCACAGTTAAAAGTTCTTGTTTCCATTTTCAAGATCTGAGGTGGATGATCCATTTTCGATTCAGTGCGGCTATAAAGGTCATTCAAGATGACATTCAAACTCATATTAGATGCTTTTAACATTAAATCAACCAATAAACAGTACGTGAGATTATCATTGTCAGACTTCATATGTTGTCGTTCCAGCCGCGACATCGCAGAAAAATAGAAACCGTTTCTAAAATAGAATTGCCGCATATTACAGCTGGTTAGGACAAAACCTCTGATTAACATGAAAAAGATACCTTTTATCGCATGTCACGTCTGGTTAGGATACGGTGTTATGCTTACCATGACTTGCATTTATTTGATCAAAGATACAGTAAAAACTGTAACATTTTGATTACAATTTCAAATGTATGTTTTAATCTAAAATGTAATTTATTCCTGTGAAGCCAAAGCTGAATTTCCGGCAGCCATCACTGATTCGGGGCTCTAGAAACATTTCTTAATGTTATCAATGTTGAAACAAAATTTTTTGTAGAAAGCGTAATGATTTTTTCAGGATTTTTTGATGAATATAAAGTGAATAGTTATTTGAAATGATCTTTTGTAACATACGTTGATCAATTTGATGGATCTTTGCTGAATAAAACTAATTTCTTCTTTAAAAAAGAAAAAAAAAGAAGAATTTATACTGACCCCAAACTTTTGCCCAGTAGTGTAGATTTTTGCTTTCATCTACGAATGTAAGTGGTTAAGTATTGTAATGTGCTGTCAATACCACTGCTAAGAAAGTGAATGTAATATAGAACTTCTAACCTCATGCACAGTATGTATGCGCGTAGTAGCATGTGGAACTATAAAAACCAGAGTCATAGTTAATCGTCCCTATTATAATTATGGTCTGATAACGTAAAACGTCTCTATCGTTAACAGTACGACCGGTTCTGGCACATTTCTGTGAATGTTGTGAACATTTCTTACTTTTTTTGAGTTTTAAGAAAGATTTGTTTGTGCCTTTTTATTTGATTTATACAAAATTGGTGAACTTCTCTGTTTTTTTTTTATAAAATAGCCTCAGAAACATGATTCAGGTATTATAATTCAGTGAAGTATATATTTTTTGTAACTGTCTTTTTTGTGTCTCTTCTTCTGGCTATATTCTCTCAATGATTTATACTGCAGGTTTGCTTTCGATGCACTTAGGTGTATTCCTGAATCTTTTGTCTGTGCTTATTACCTTTGGGTGTCTCTTTTGAAGGTTTTAACTTGATCTTTATTTGCTTATTAATGCCTCACCTAATACATTCAAATTAAAGGCACTCCTAATAATACAAAGTATTACACAGTGCCTTAATAGGTAACATCAGCTCTGTGCAGTTGTGTTTTTGTATGACATCCAGACCACATAAATGCCTTGGGTTTCTGTTCTGGGGTCTGGAGTGAATAACACTGTCTGATTGCCATGAGTACATTGAGTTCTATGAGCCCAAGATGAAATGCAGACAGTGTCTTTATATTGATGTCATTTCCACTTCTTTTCTTGAAATCCCATTTAATATCCTGCCTTATTACTCTGCTTCACTTCTGTCCTTTGCATTTCTTTAGCAGTCCCGTTTAATGATTCAAATGGATTACATTTGCTTACTCAAACCCAGTGTAGATTGCTCTCCTGTCAAAACGGTGAATATCCTGAATACCACCCAAAACTGAACTAAACTCTTTTTGAACAATTTTGTTGTAAAGAACAACCATTTTAGTATTAACCATAAGAACTCATTCTCATTGTCATTTTGAGAGCATGCGAAACATGGCTCGTTTATTTTTTTTTCTTTGCATCCTATTTTTACAACCGCAGGAGCCTCTCTCTACTCCCACAAGCGAGGGCAGGCCTGGGCTGCTCTTAAACTCTGGGCAAGGCACCATTTGGCCATCCACCTAACGGTGCTTCCTTCACATCAGATCTCCCATCATGGACACAATGACTTTGACTTTCTCTTTGTATTGACCATTATTATTATTATTATTATTATTATTATTATTATTTTTATTATTAAGTGTTGCCAAACCTACTTTATAAAGTGAGCTATGGAGTAAAAAGTAACATCTTTTCTTATTTAACAAAGTAAATCATTCAGGAATTTTGGCTGTTTTTACTTTAACAACATCACAAGGCCAGCACTAATGGATTCCCATAATGTTTCTGGTCCAATCTTAGCATGTGTGATCTTCTCTCTTGCTTTATGAGGGCTGTTATAGTTTAGATTTCACTGTCCATTTAACACATAAAGCCACTTTATAAGAGGAGACCTTTTATCTTTATAAAAACACTTTTTTATTTAATTTAACTCAGGTCTTGTTCCTATCAAATGCGTCAGTATCTCCGATTGTGGATGTTTTCTAGTTACATGACCGATCTGCCACTCTTGAGTTTGGACTAATGTGTAATCATAGTGTGCTCAATCAGTGTTTTAACTTCACACTGTCTATGAAGAGCGTTTTCCATATTATGATTATTATAATGTTTAGTTATAATTTATACCGTTTATACCATAGCACTTCATTTTAAAACAGATGATACAACCTTTTTATGGATTCAGTCCTTAGTAAGTAATGAAGTCCATCATCCCCCCCCCAGATAGATTTATGATTTGTTTACATGCATGCTTAAAATCTTGGCGCTTAAAAAAAAAAGTGTTTCTTATTAGAGATGCAACATGTTATTGGTAGGGAACATTTCTTACAATGTAGTATTGTAAAACTGTCATTGCTATCGAAGGGGTCTCAAATTAAAATAGTATTATTTAGTTTTTGGTATTTATTATAAAAAAAAATCTTTTTAATGTTTGGGTGCAGAGTCAGACCTGATGTTAAGTGACCTCTGCACAGATTTGGTCCAATTAATTTTGTTTTTTGAGGAGTTAAAGAAGCTTGATTATTTAATTAAATCATATAGTTTATCTGGCTCGTCATATGAAAGTTTAAAGCATTTCAAATAGAAATGCTATTATTATTACAAAATTAAGTCACAATTAATCACAATACTGCATCAGAAACATTTATTTATATATATATATATATATATATATATATATATAAATTAGGTATTCTAAGTGCTTTGGGGGATTTAATAAGAGAGAACCTAACCAGATTTACCTTACCTTTCTTTACTTGCCTTGTGCTTTGCTTTTTGCTTCCTCAGTATACATATTTTTGTAAATTTAAATCTGAAATTAAGAGCTATTAATGCAAATACAAGGTCATTAATGTACTAATGTGAAAATAGTGTACTTATGTGTGTGTGCATTTCATATATTTCCCCTTTGAAATAAAAAAAAATACTTTTGGGTAACTGGGATTTCAGACTTTTTTGTGAATCGAATGACTTAACAAACATCAGCTACATTAGCTCCTCTTATAACCTGTCTATACCTAACTTTTTTTTTTTTTTTACTATGGTGTTCATTAAAATCTAATACAGTTTTCTTAAACTGCTGGAATGTTTTTTTTATGAGGATGTGACCTTAATCATTTTTTCAGGATTTGTGGTTTGCGGTGTTATTTTGATTAGTTCTATATTTAAGGAGCTATTCTCAGTGGCTTGGATCAGTGCCACTGTCAACAACATGAGCCACCTATTTATCCTCATTTCTTTGAGAGTTTGTGGTGGAACTCGCAGCTTAAGTCTCAGAGAAAATCAAGTCGATGGGCAGGAAAGTTAGAACACAATGTTACAACTAGCACCATAATGGCAGAGGCCGAGAGACTCTGTGTCTGGCATCATTCTGATCCTTCTATCTGTATGTAAGATGTTGAAAGATCATGGGTATGGCTTTGAAAGCTAAGCTCTGTGTTGGATGATGCCCTGGTCTTTTAATACTAATTCAAGTAATTTAATCTTGTACAAATCTTAAGTGAACGTGTTTGCTAATATTGTACCAGCCACCCGGAAAGAAATTATCAAAATCCGTAAACAGTGCTAATGCTGAGACCATATCAGATGTCCATTTGCCTTCCTGTGCGTTTTCCTTGTTGACCCTGAGATTTAATTTTCATCCATGTTGCATTTCAGTAGAAATATACTGAAATATAGTCTCCATCTAAATTTAAATTACCTTTTTATTTTTATATTTTCAATTTTCATCTTATTTGAAAGTTTTAGTACTTGTTTAAGTGCTTTTGTCTTTTTTTTTTTTTTTATATATATATATATATATATATATATATATATATAGTTTTTAATATTTTTATTTTTTATATATAATACATTTTTTTTATTCGTTTTATTTAATAGCAACACTGGTCTAATTATATATGCTTAACAGATAAGTTAAGATAAGAATTTATTTCACTCTCATTCATTGTAAAGGTCTGTCTTTTTATCCTTTTTAGTAATACATAATACATAGGAAGTCAGACCTTTACAATGAGTAAAATAAATTCTATTCTTTTGTGTCTATATATTTACATGTATGTTATTCATTTCTGAACAACAGATGATACTGTACACAAAAGTGCATGTAAAATACCCTGTTTATGATTACTTCATGCTCAAGATTCATGTTGTTTGTTGCTAATAATTACAAGTTGCTAGTTAACAAATAGTTCTGATACATCTGTTTCTCATCTATAGTGTATAACTATAATGAACTACCATTAGGATTTGATACAAAATGCACAATCTAGCATGAGTCTTTCTGTTGTTTTAGAGTTTCAGATACACTTCTTATGCTACATTCCACAGCCTCGATCTAGTGTAGAGCGCTGTTTGCTTAGGCTAGCTGCCAAACCCCGGCTCCAGACCCCCTCTCTCTCCCTCCCCTCTTCTCCTATGTCATTCCCGCTGGGACACTCCAGTTAAACTGTAAACCACTGCCGGCTCACCAGCCCAGCAGTATTGCTGATAATCCTTTGCAGGAATTATTTCCGGGTCGTAAAGCCACCTTTTTCTATCTGGAGTTCCTTGTTTATGCCCAGCCTCTACATTCTTGTTTTCCCCCGTGAGCTGCTCCTCTTTGAGGAAGAAACCATTTCCCCCTTCTCATATTTGTCCCTCTTTATATAGGCGTAGTGCTATCTTGCTTTTGTTTTCAGGTTTCTTATCTTCATTTTTTTTTTTTATATAAAATTGTCTGTGGTAAAGGAAATAGATGTGATTTTTGTCTAACTGCGTGTTTATTGCACTACAAAAAGTGGCTAAAAAAAAGTGTCCTGGTGTGTCATATCTTTTGCTGTTCTGCTTTGTCCAAATAGCTGAAGTAAATGCCTCTTTTGTTGACCAAATGTTTTCTAAAATTTGCCATGTTATGTTATTAGCACTTTGAATGGTCTGTATGATCTGTCAGATTCAGGACAGGCTTACTGAATTGACAAGAAGCATGAAGAATGTCTTGTAGTTTTTAGTGCATTTGCAATTGCTAGCGCAATTGATAGCTTGTTCTTAGTGGTTGCTAGCATGTTCGGAGTGGTTGATAGGTGTTTACTAAACTCCAAACTTATTTTATTGTCTTTAATATTATTATCATTATTTCCATTATGCTTTGATCTTAACAGGATTATCTCCTCTCTTTTTCCATCCCATAGACTCGCTGACAGCCATTGACAGCCCACAGCTGTCTTCCTTCAATGTCAAGGGTGCTCTGTGTCAGTCACCCTCCTTCCAGATGTCCACCCTCAGTCTCCCCGGCCAGTCACCCTCGCCCCTGCACAGCCCCATCTTGAATGAGGTGGGCACCGCCAGACTAGAGGAAGACGAAGAGGGCAGGAGGAAGGTACACTGATCGCAAGCCGACTTGCCCAGACCTCAATAAGAGCTGAAAATAAGAGCTTGGGTTTGATTAACACGGATGAGGAAATGGGAAAGAACCATTTAGCTTGCATTGATAGATTGTAGGTGATTTGATTTGAGGATGATTAGGGTGTTTTTTTAGCTTAACCTTGGTGTGCCTTTGGTGTGCCATCTTTTATAGATTTATCAGACATTGAAACTTTAAAAATGTTAAAGTTTCAAGTAATTTTTCTCTTCAAATATTACTTGAATACCAACTTTAAATATTGCCAAGTTAAGTTGAAATGAGTTCTAGGTTCTGCCTTACTTTTCTAGGTTCTGTGTTAACGGTTTGGTTCTAACTTCTAATTTCTTTGTTAAATTCTATTTTATGTGTTTAAGGTTAACTTATATGTTTGTTTCTATGTAAACGTGTTGGTTCTAAGTTCTACATTAACTTCTAGGTTCTAAGTTATATAAGTTCTTCATTTATTTCAAAGATACATTTTAGGTTCTAAATTAACTTACTAAGTTCTAAGCTATGTTCATTTCTAAATTCAATTCTAGGTTCTGTGTTCGAGGTTATTAATTTCTATATTCTCTATTTTTCAGTTCTACATTACCGGTAATTTCAATGATATGTTATAAGTTCTACATTAACTTCTAAGTTCTAAACTGTGCTAATTTAAGTTAAATTCTAGGCTCTTCTTAGAGATTGACTTCTGGGTTTATGTTATAAGTTCTACTGTATATTATAAGAACTACATTAATTTCAAAGATAGGTTTTTGTTTCTAGGTTTACATTAAACTTAAGTTCAAAGCCACATTTATTTCATTTATTAAGTTAAATTCAACTTTCTGTGTTTGAGGTTACATTCTACATTAGTTTCTATGTTAACTTCTGAGTTCTAAGTTTGAGGTCTACATTAACTTCTAGGTTCTAAGTTAATCTAAGTCTAAGAACCAAGTCTTCTTGATTCTATGTTCTACATGAACTTTTACATTTTATATTTAAAAGGCATGCTCTAGTTCTACATTTTACAACTATTTCATAGAACTGTAATTCATTCAATTGACTTAACTTGCCAAGTAAAAAGTGTTTTGAGGGTTTAATCAAAGTATGCTTTCTTTTTCAGAGATATCCCACGGACAAAGCCTACTTCATTGCTAAAGAGATTCTGACAACAGAACGGACTTACCTGAAGGATCTGGAGGTCATCACGGTGGTGAGCAGAGCTACGCTCGTGACTCATGAGTGTAACAAGTTTAGTGTGTGGGGCTTGTCTGGAGAAGAGTGCTGTAGTGTCTGTACAATGTATACTGTATGTTGTGTCAATTAGGAGGGCTAATGTGTGTCTCTTTCTTTTGATGATTTCTGGCTTTGAACTGTCTAATCATTGATGTGTGTGTGTGTCTTCAGTGGTTCCGCAGTGCAGTGATTAAAGAAAACGCAATGCCTGAGGGTCTCATGACCCTCCTGTTCTCCAACATCGACCCCATATATGAATTCCACAGAGGCTTTCTCAAAGAGATTGACCAAAGGCTGGCTCTCTGGTACTTGTCCTTCTCATTTATCACAATGTAACTTGTTGACATATGACACTGATATACAAGTTTTCATTTGCTTAATGATTGAAAAAATGTTTTTGCCTTAGATGTTGATTATTTTTTACGTTCGCAGGGAGGGGCGCTCTAACGCTCATGTAAAAGGAGATTACCAACGAATTGGAGATGTAATGCTGCGCAACATGTGTGCTCTGAAGGTGAGGGTATAGTTTGGTTCTACAAACAAGAACAACTTTGAGTTCAACTTCAATTTTTGGTATAAACTCTAGGGCTGGTCCGAATACCATTTTTTTGAGCGTCGAAGCTTCTGTAGTAATGAACATCGAATATTCGAAGCTTCGGAATCTCTATATGTCTGTCTGTCCGTTTGCATTTTGATTATTTCGAGAACCGTTCATCCAAACGACTTCACAAGGGAGTGCAGTGTCGTATTTGGTGCAATAAAGATAGACAGGCGAGACACGACACGTTCAGAATGAATAAACTTTTAATAAACTACAGAACAGCGCGAGCGGGAAGCGGCGCGCCTCACGCGAGCAGAGCTTATATTCTCCGAGAACGGACACTGCACTAGTGATATAAAACACACACACAGGTCTGTTAACTTAAGCAATATTTTTAATAAGGTAGTCTAATATTTTTCTCACTAACAAATTACTGACAAAGTAGGGTAGATTTAAATAAAGAAGCGGCGCGCCTCACGCGAGCAGGGCTTATATGCTCTGAGAATGGACACTGCACTGGTGATATAAAACACACACACACAGGTCTTTTTAACTTAAGCAATATTTTTAATAAGGTATAGTCTTATAATATTTGTCTCTCTGACAAAGTAGGGTAGATTTAAATCAATAAAAACGAAATTTAAATAAATAAAAAATAAAAAAACGAAATTTAAATAAATAAAAAACGAAATTTAAATAAATAAAAACAAAAAATAAATGAACGAACTGTAATAGCCTAAATAAAGAACACGGTAGCAATAGCAATTTCAATAACAACTTCACACATTTCAATTA